GTACTGGCCATCTTTGTCTCTAGTTATGGCCCTCATTTTGAAATCTATTTTATCAGATACGAGTATTGCTACGCCAGTGTTTTTTCCTTTCTGATTGATTGGTAGATTTTTTTTCTATCCCTTCACTTTCAACCTATATGAGTCTTTTGTTGTGAGGTGGGTCTCTTGTAAGCAACATATAGATGACTCATGCTTTCTTATCCAATCAGCTACTGTGTCTTTTTATTGGAGCATTCAGTCCATTTACATTTAAGGTGATTATTGATATGTACTTACTTATTGCCATTTTTGTTTAGTGTGGTTCTATTTTTCTTCCTATTTCTTCCACTAATTACAGCAGTCCTTTTAACATTTTTTGCAGTGCTGATTTGGTACTAATGTATTCCCTTAGCCTTTTTTTTTTTTTGGTCTGGGAAGCTCTTTATTTGACCTTCTATTTTGAATGATAGCCTTGCTGAGTAGAGTAGTCTTGGATTCAGATCCTTTTTTTCATGACCTTGATTACTTCATGCCATTCCCTTCTGGCCTGTAGTGTTTCTTGTGAGAAGTCAGCTTAGAGCCTTTTGGGGGTTCCTTTGTAGGTAACCTGTTGCTTATCTCTTGCTGCTTTTAGTATTTTCTCTTTGGCTTTAATTTTTAGCATTTGAATTACTATGTGTCTTGATGTAGGCTGTTTGGGTTTTTCTTAGTTGGGGCTCTCTGTGCTTCTTGAACTTGAATGCCTTCTTCCTTCACCAAATTAGGGAAGTTTTCTGTCACTATATATTCAAATATATTCTGTAATCCTTGTTCATTTTCCTCTTCGTTGGAGACTCCTATGATGTGAATATTATTACATTTCCAGTTGTCCCATAGTTCTCTTAAGCTGTCTTCCTGTTTTTTAATTTTTTTTTTCCTTTTAATTGACTTTCTGATTGGTTGATCTTTTCTACCCTGTCTTCTAATTCACTGATCCCAGTCCTCAGCTTCCTCTACTCTGCTGTTTAGACCTTACAATGTATTCTTTATTTCTGATATATCATTCTTGATTTCTTCCTGGTGGTTTTTATTTTCCAATTTTCAAGATTTTAATGTCTTTACTCATGGTGTTGAATGCCTTACACATGCTGTTGAGCTTCCTCAAGATCATGACTCTGAATTCTAGCTCTGTTAACTTGCTTAACTGCTTCACATTTATCTCATCTTCGCGAGAGGTCTCTTATTCTTTCACTTGGCTTTTGTTTCTTTGTTTCACCACTTTGGCTCTCACAGTGGGCTTTGGAGCCTGCCAAAGTTTCTTTGTGCATGTTGGTGTTCTGATGATTGTGGCTCCCTCTCCTGAGTTTGGATGAGTCAGGGAGGACCCAACATAAACACCACTGTCAAGTCTTACTTTCCTGGTTAGAGTTGATAGCCCACGAATGGTTCAGTTATTCTCCAGCTTTTTGTCTAGAGGCTATCAGTAGTGGTTACTTGAAGAGCCTTGGGTTCTCAGTTGAATGAAAAACTCCCTCAGGTCCTTAGCGTATGGGGATTTCCTGAGTATGGGGCAGATGCTGGTTATTAATAAGCCTCAACTGGCATTTCAATGGCCCACCTGGGTGGCAATGAACCTCAAGGGAGGGGCTACCGCCTCACCCCAGAGCCCTGGGAGGGAGAAAGATGGCCACCGTCCTGCGTGGCTGCAACTCAGCAAAAGCTCTGAGCACTCTCCAAATCTAGAGTGTCACCACACAGTTCCAATCCAGTCAACCCTCCCTCTGCCAGAGCCCAAGGTGGGTGGCTGTGGCTATTTTAGCGTCTGTCCCAGCTCTGGGCTGTAGAATCGCTTGGGAGTTTAACCCGAGGGCGCTGCTAACAGCTAGGGCCGCTGCTGTCTGTGGGCTCCCAGCCCCCTCTCGCACCTCTGCAATCCTACCAGGATTGAGTCAGTGTCCTTGGTTATATGGTCCTCACAAGCTGCTTTTCTGTTGCTTTTTCCTGATGATTTGTCTTTATTTTCGTTGTAATTACAGTTTGGTCCTGGGAGACAGTCTGTGTAACTTCCACTCACTCTACCGCCATTTTGGATTTTTTTCCACTCTGAATATTTCTTGCCACTCCCTTCTGGCCTGAAAAATTTCTTTTGAGAAATCAGCTTACAGTCTATGGGAACTCCCTTGTGCAGGTAACTAACTGCTTTTGTCTTGCTGCTTGTAAGATTCTCTCTTTGTCTTAAACCTTTTGCATTTCAATGATGATGTGTCTTGGTGTGGGCCTCTTGGGATTCATCTTGTTTGGGACTCTCTGTGCTTCCTGAACTTGTATGTGTGTTTCCTTCACCCAGTTAGGCAAGTTTTCTGCCATTATTGTTTCCAATAGGTTTTCGATTTCTTGTTCTCTCTCTTCTCCTTCTGGCACCCCCAAGATGTAAATGTTGGCAAGCTTGAAGTTGTCCCAGAGGCTCCTTATGCTATCCTCATTTTTTTGGATTCTTTTTTCCTTTTTCTGTTCTGATTGGGTATTTTTTTGCTTCCTTATATTCCAAATTGTGGAATTAGTGCCTCCTTTATTTCTGAGTGGTCCAATTTTATGCTCTTGAGGCCCTCACGAAGTTCGCTGAGGTTCTCACTAAGTTCATTGAGCATCCTTATAAGCAGTATTTTGAACTCAGCGTCTGTTAGGTTGCTTATCTCCATTTCGCTTAGTTCTTTTCCTGAGGTTTTGTTCTGTTCTTTCATTTGGGACCTGTTTCTTTGTATCCTCATTTTGGCTGCCTCCCTGTTTGTTTCTATGTATTATTTAACGAGAGGTATGAGGCTAACTGAGACCAAATGCTGCTTGTTAGAAAGAATTTAAGAAAACCTGAAGCAGGATCCAGACAGGCCAATCCTATGGTAAAGCAACTGGCAACAGCTTGGGTTGGCCTGAAAGTTGGGTGGGGCAGGACCTCAGGGAATCACCAGGGCTGAGAAACAGTGTGTGCCAGGTTGCTGGAGTCCTAGATATTGCGGTTGTCTGCCGCCCCAGAGAAGGGATCACGAAAGGAACAAAGGCTTCTGACTGCTCATCTGTTCAGGAGAAAGCTGCCTCTCTAGCCCTCACTCCAATACCAAACAGCTCAGTTCTTCCCTGTGTGTCTCTGGCGCCCCTCGAGCTGTCTCCCCTCCAAGCTGAGAGGGAGTGAGTCTGTGTGTGGGCCCATGAAGAGGAGCTGCCTGAGGCTCCAGCCGCCTTAGCCTCCCTGAGCCTTAGTTCCCTCTGGTTTTTGCAGCCAAAAGTTATGGCAACTGGTCTTCCGGGCACTGGAACCGTGAGCTGGGTCCTGGTGTGGGACAGGGACCCCTCAGTCCTCAGGGAGGACCTTCCCAGCCGAGGTAGCCTCCTAATTTTTATCCGCCACACATGGATGTGGGACCAGCCTGACTGCCTTCGCCCCTCCTACCAGTCTTGATGTAGTTTCTTCTTTAATATCGTAGTTGTAGGACTTCCATTCAGCCTCATTTTAGGCGGTTCTAAATGATAATTTTTCTGTAGTTTAGTTGTAACTTTGATGTGGTTGTGGGAGTACGTGATACCGTGTTTACCTACGTCACCATCTTGACTGGAAGTCAGGAAATTTTTTTAAATCATAAAGCAATTATAATGTAAGAGTTCTTGAAAAATTATTTGTTTTTTTGGTCACATGCACATTACATCAGTTCTCTCCCTTTTTTTTAAATGTGCATAGAGAAGTGACAACTTTCTTGAGTAAAGTATAATTCCAGTGTTTATTTCATGTGCATCATTCTAAAACATTCCTATGTTTCTACTACTTAACCTCAGAGATACAGAACTCAATTAAGGAACTAGAGAAATCTTATTTATTTATTTATTTGTTAATCTTCACCAGAAGATATTTTTCCATTGATTTTTAGATAAGAGTAGAAGAGAGGGAGGGAGACAGAGAGAAACATTGATATGAAAAAGACACATCGATTGGTTGCTTCCTGCATGACCACAACCAGTGCTGGGGGTTGAACCTCAACCCAGGTATGTGCCCTTGACTGGAAATCGAACCCATGACCCTTTGGTCCATGGGCCGATGCTCTAACCGTTAAGCCAAACTGGGAAGGGCAAGAGGTTTTTGTTTTTTTAACACCCCCAAGTAACTCTAATGAGAGGCCCAGGCATCAGGTATTTTTCCTCTACACAGCTGCTTTTCGAGACAAAGTTGTTACCAATCAATTTAGAGCACACCAAGAAAATAAATTTATAGTGGGTCTGCAAATTCTAGTGTGCATTAGAATCACTTGGCAGGCTTGCTTAAACACAGATTGTTGGGCTCCATGTCAAGAGTTTTTTTTTTTTTTTTTTTTTATCCTCACCTGAGGACATTTTTCTATTTTTTGTTCAGGTAGAGTGGGAGGGGGAGAGAGGAAGAGAGAGAGAAACATCGATGTGAAAGGGACACATCGAGTGGCTGCCACCCGCACGACCAACCAGGGCTGGGGACAAACTGCAACCGAGGTACACGCCCTTAGCGGGAACCGAACCCGGGTCTCTCGGGACTGCAGGCCGATGCTCTAACCACTGAGCAAAACCGGCCAGGGCTCTCAAGAGTTTTTGATTCAATAGGCACAAATCAATAAGTGGGGTCCCAGATATAGAAGCTACTGATCAGGGTACCATGCTTTGGGAACCACAGATTATAATACACAGAGAGCTATCTCAGAAAATAGCACTGAAGGCTTTGGTTGTTTGTTTATTGTGTGGCTAGTTGGTTAAGAGGGAATAAAAGAGGACCATTTTGGATCTGAGTGTGTTTCCCAGGACTAGTACACTGAGCACCTGTCTTGACTGGGGAAAGAACATGAAGATTTCACTCAGCACGATCTTAGTACGGAACATTTCAACATCTGGTAGTTGCTTAATAAGATCCCCGAGTGCCTAGTGATGATCCCAAATAAACCCACCTATTAGAACTAAAATACTGTCTCTACTGGCTTCTGTCATAATGCTTTTTACAAATAATATTCAGGTCAAAGAAGTATTTCACTCACCAAACCCCACAGAGCACCAGGAGAGGTAGCAGTGATTGTAGCTGCTCTGGGTGTGTTGTACATTAAGGCCAGTTCGCCAAAACTCCCACGATTATCGTAGTTACCAACACATCTTCCAACACCATCACATTTCACATAAATATCAAATGTTCCTCTGTAGGACACAGGAAAAATAAGAGGTAAAAATAATTCAAGTAAAATCTCATTATAATAAACCTGATTTGAGAGAAAAACCCTTTCCCTTCTAATGACAGTAAGCAAAAAAGTGGCATCTGGTCCAGACAAACATGAAGAGATCATCAACTAGACTAGGGTGAGGACCATACATGTGCCTGCTGGGGAAAATGAGGCAAAACAATAAAAACTGCAGGTAATGCCCTGGCCAGTTTGGCTCAGCGGTTAGAGTGTCGGCCTGCGCACTAGAGAGTCCTGGGTTCGGTTTCCACTAAAGGCACGTACCTCGGTTGCAGTTTGCCCCGGCCCCGGTTAGGGTTGTGTGGGTGGCAACCAGTCGATGTGTCTTTCTCACATGGATGTTTCTCTTTCTGTCTTCCTCCCTCTCTCCCTCCCACTTTATCTGAAGATAAATTAGGAAAAAATTGGAGGTAATAAAATAAATGCTACAAATATAACTGAGAGCAACCAAACAATATATGCACATACAACTATCTGAAAGAATATATATGAAAATGCTGACTGTAATTATCTTTAAGCATAAGAACAGTGAATGAGTCCAGAGACATTAACTATCTAAGAGTTTCTTTTTCTAAAATGAACATGTGCTACTTTTGAGATCAGAAAAAAAAACAACTATTAAAAAAAAAATCTATCTATCTATCTATCTAAAAATTTGGTCAAACTGTGTAGAACTTGTTAGGATCCCTTATAACCTAAAGGAGGGGCTGGCAAACTGTGGCCCACACACTGGCTGCCTGCTTTAGCAAATAATTTTACTGGAACACAAACATACTGGTTTGTGTATAATCTATGGTTGATTTGTGCTATAACAGCAGAATTGAGTAGCTGTAACAGAGACCACATGGCCCGCAAAGCCTAAAAAATTTACCTTATCTGATCTTTTATTTTACGTCAACCCTCTTCAAACTAAGTAAAAACATAAAAAGTGGTAAAAATTCAGACTAAATATCTGATACAGTCTCTCCAAGTTTACCTTTTAATTGGGGTTCTTTTTCTAGGCAAATAAGCCTCATTTTGCATGCTACTGAACTACAAAGCATCAAATACTATATTAATATGAGCTATACTCTTCTTATAGGACTGTCTTCCCATGTACTGCAGATTACCAGAGAACATGGTTTCAAGGTTTGCTGAAGCACCCATGACAACAAGCAGTTCTTTGGCATTATCTTATTGGCTAAACCCTAACAAAGACACAAAATGGAGTGCTTTTATTAAAAAATGGATTACAAATGGTAAAAACACAATATAAACAAAACATAAGAAAAACATAAGCAAAAACACAAGAAGATAGACAAAGATATTAATAAATAAGGAAGAGAATTTTGACTTTTAATATAATTTACAAAATGGCTATTTTAAGGATACTGTCTAGAATTTTTTCACGAATAATTATATTTCAAGAATAAATTGATTCTTCTATTTTATACTATTTACACATTTGCACCGAAACCCGTTCTCTACATTTTCAATTTTGAATAAGATAAAATATATAATAAATGTGCAGATGAGAAGCAAAATGAGCTATAGTCCAGTGGAAATCACAAGTCTAAAATCACAAGTTAAAATACCATGTGCTGCTTATTTATTTATTTTGCAATTTTTAAAAATTTATTTTTGCTACAGATGTTTCTCCTCACCCTCCTTCCTACCCCCCCCCCAGCACCGTTGTCAATGTCCATTGGTTATGCATACATGCATATAAGTTTGTTGGTTTATCTTAATCTATCCAACTCTGCCCACCTCCTCTGAGGTTTGTCAGTCTGAACCGTACTCCTTTCTATGTCTCTGGGTCTATTTTGTTCATGATATTCTACAAGTAAGTGAGATCATGTGGTATTTGTCTTTCTCTGATTGGCTTATTTCACTTAGCATAATGCTTTCCAGGTCCCTCTATGTCACCTCAAAAGATAATAGATCTCTCTTTCTTACAGCTGCATAGTATTCCATTGTGTTTATGTACCACAGCTTTTTTATGCACTCAGCTACTGATAGACACCTGGGCTGTTTCCAGATCTTATGCTTTTTTTTTTTTTTTTTTATAGATCCCTTCCCCAATAATGTGAGACCTCAGGCATGGAAAGAACACAAATGGTGGCCAAGAGACCTGGCTGTAGTGTCAGCTCTACACTGATCCTCTGGGTGGTCTTAACCTACCTCATGTCACTTCTGTGTTCCTGAGAGTTTTTACCTGTCAAATGGGTAATTAGGATCTATCTGAAAATAATGTACATGTAAAAATGCAATTATTATAGTCAAATTACCTACTAACAGAAGATTAATCCTGTACTGTATCTGAGGTTCTCATATGCCCTTAAAACAGTTGAATAAATTTCCAAGGTGTTTCATGGATGAAAGCTGTTAATGATATCAAAACCATGACTTTAACTTAAATATGAGATAACTGGTTCTATTCTATTCTAAAATCAGAGTGCATCCTGGCCCTGGCTACTACTGCCTTGGCAACAGCTCTATAAAGTCACCAGGGCATGTAGGATGAAGGAATGGAAGAATCAGGGATAACCCTGGATTCCGAGAGTATGCACTAGTGATTTATGAAAGACACCACCAAGAGCCAAGATTAAGAAAGGAGAACTGGGACATTCCAAAATGGCAGCAGATTAGGTGGAAGCTACACCGACCTTCTCTCAAGACCAAACTGGAATTACAACTAAAATATACAAAAATCATCCTGAATAATCCAATAAAGACGAGCTGGAGAACCCTTATAACCAAAAAGAGGAGCTCACATTGAGACTGGTAGGAAGTGCAGAGGTGAGAGGGCTGGCTGGGCTCTCACAAAAAACACCTGAAATGCTGGAGGGAAATCTCAGCTGTGGAGGTTCCCCCTGAGAAGACTGGAGTCTGAACCCCAAGCTGAACTCCTCAGTGCAGAGTTACAAAACCAGGAAAGGTGGCCACATAACATCTGGCTGTGAAAAGCACCAGGGGTTCTGTATGGCAGGGAGAGATGGCCAGAAACACAGGCACCCTCTTAAAGGGCCAATGCTCTAAAATTTCATTTGTAGCCACTCACCTTGGGCAGAGGGAGGGCAGTGTGAACCAGAGCTGCATGACAGGAGTTTGGGGTTTGTGGCTCTGGGGAGAGAGCTGGGAAGGCAGCCATCAGGATCCCTGTGCAGAGTCATTCCCACACACTGCAGAAGCCATCTTTCTCAGGCAGAGTTTTGCCATCAATGGAGCTTTAAGCCAGGGTGTGGGAAGCAACTGCCTCACCAGTTGAAAACTCTCCCCCCACCCAGTGGAGTTTATGCCTGGCTGATGACTATAGCTTGGATCTCATTAAGTAACTGAGAGTAACAGTCAGCCTGCAGGCAGAGGTGGATCTCTGGGTGCTTTTAGATTCTGCCTGACGTGCACCTCTGCCTAAGGCTACCAAAAGCAGACCTTGGTGCCCAGCTTGGTCCTTTCCATATGCAACCAGCGCCAGCAGAGAGAGCTACAAGCTGTAAATCGCTGATAGGTCCAAGCAGGATACTCAGGGAAAGTTACAAACAGTATCTGACACTGGTCTGTACCAGAGACCCTCTGAAGAGGCCTCAAACCAATAAACCCAGTGGCCAGCTTCATTAAAAAACACAGCAGGACCCAGTAAGTTTCACAAGCAGAAGAGCCACAAGGATAATTTGGCAGGCTCCAAACCCTGCAGAGGTGAATTGCGCTTCATATGATAAGCATCTGCAGAAAAGCTGCATGCTGTGTTGAGCATTGAGCCTCACTATCAGCCAGCCTGAGGGCCCAGAACACACACAGATGAGACAATAGCAATCAAGACTCAATAACAACATGAGGGCTCAAACAATGTTCACAAGGGACATTATTAGAGCACCCAGTCTGGTGATCACAGAGTCTTTGTCACCTGGTCCCACAAATCAACTACTACATAAGGTCACACTACCAAGACTGGGAGTTGCAGCAGATCTAAAACATAAAAACAAACCCACACAGGCAACCAAAATGGGTAGACAATGAAACAAGCCTCAAATGAAAGAACAAGAGAAGTCTTCAGAAGAAGAGATAAGCAATTTATCAGGTATAGACTTCAGAGTAATGATTATAAGGATGTTCAAGATCATTAAAAAGGTATTGAAACTATAAAAAAAAGTCAGTAAAGAAGAATGACAAAGCAGAAATAAAGAATACACTGGAGCCCTGGCCGGTTTGGCTCAGCGGCTAGAGCATTGGCCTGTGGTCCAGAGAGACCCGGGTTCGGTTCCCGCTAAGGGCACGTACCTCAGTTGCAGTTTGTCCCCAGCACTGGTTGGGTCGTGTGGGTGGCAGCCACTTGATGTGTCCCTTTCACATCGATGTTTCTCTCTTTCTCTCTCCCTCCCACTCTATCTGAACAAAATATGGAAAAATGTCCTCGGGTGAGGAAAAAAAAAAAAAAGGAATAAAATCAATAAAAAAAAAAAAAAGATACACTGGAAGGAATAAACAGCAGATTAGAGCAAGCCAAGGATCAGATCACCAACTTAGAAGAAAGGGTAATAAAAAGATCGCTCAGAGAATCAAAAAGGAAAAAAAAAAGACAGTTTAAGGAGCTGTGGGACAACATGAAATGTAACAACATCCTCATCATAGGAGTACCAGAAGAAGAATAAAGTGAGCAATGGATAGACAACTTGTTTAAAAAAATAATGGCAGAAAACTTCCATAACTTGGTGAAGGAAAATGTCTCACAAGTTCGGGAAGCACAAGAATCCCAAAGGAAGAAGAACCCTAAGAGGCCCACACCATGACATACCATAATTAAAATGCCAAAAAAATAAAGACAAATAGAGAACCAACCTTAAAGGCAGCAAGAGAAAAGCAACAGGTTACCTACAAAGGAGCCCCCATAAGGCTGTAAGTTTATCTCAAAAGAAACACCAGAAGCCATAAGGAAATGGCATGAAGTATTCAAGGTAATAAAAAGTGAAGATCTGAAACCAA